GAAATTTGATTATGATCTAGTTTTGAGAGACGTTTCTTCAAAAGAAAGTTTTGGAAAACACGACTTATTCCGATTTTTGACGTTTTAATGACGTTTTAAAACGTCACCCGTCCCCAAAGGGTTAATCTTTGTCTTAAAATTATATCAGCTGAAATAGAAAAAACGATTCTCCCAACCACCACTAATTCTAAAAAATTCTAAATGTCTCTTTGTCTCTTCTCGTTTGTTCATTCGCAGTATTCTTGTTTCGATGACAACACACTCTCACATCGCCTCTCTCGCCTTGAAATTAGGATGGTCGTTGTCCTCACGTGATAGTGCACCTACTAATAAATTTATGAAAATTCTAGGGAATAGGTTATCGACTATGAGGAATCCGAAAATGAGTATGAGCGACCTCTAGAAAGTATTCTATCGGTTAGAAACGTCCTGTCGGATTCCGGGATCTCACAAACACACTATTCATTGCTATTTTCGGACTCTGCATAGTCGAGAACCTATTCCCTAGAATTTTATGTCGTACATATTATAAGAGAAAACAATTTTTAATTTTAAAATTCTATAATCAAGTTTTAATCATTTACAATTATAATAAGATCTTAAACATATGTTGAGCCATGTGACATGATGCTTCCGCGAACTAGAATCACATTCTGAATATTCCTTTTTCTGTTAAGCAGGACTTCTACAGCATCTGTCGATGAGACGGATAAGGAGAATATTACATTGCTTTAAAGATTAAAAGGAAATTGAGCCCTTTTAACACACGCACCTCAAATTAATAATCCTAAAAATAAATAAATAAACACCCTTAAATTTATAATCAAATAATAATTCATGTACACATTCTTTGTTTTACATTCTTGAGCCCTTCCTTCTTTAGATGTTAAAACAGATGCTGTACCTGGACTAGGGGTGTGACAGTTCAAGCTCGTGAACTGTGAGTAAATGTAGTAAAGAGCTGGTGACCATCTCCAGCTCCTACTCATGTGAGCTGTTGATCAGCTCCAGCTCCTACTCATGTGAGCTGTTGATCAGCTCCAGCTCCTACTCATGTGAGCTGTTGATCAGCTCCAGCTCCTACTCATGTGAGCTGTTAACCAGCTCCAGCTCCTACTCATGTGAGCTGTTGATCAGCTCCAACAGTTTTATACTCAAAAGAGCTGCTAAACAACTCAAACTATCTCAAAAGAACTGTTGTGAGAACTGATACTGAATAGATCGTGGAACGACGAAAATGTAGTATCATCATTCAGGACTCCAGGCGACTGGGTGTTATTAGTACCATTATTCTTCTCAGTCTCAGCAGCGGTGGTTGAGAGATTAATTGTGCCTCGTGCACTGCCTTTTCGTGTAATTGTTGACATTGATGTCGATGATTTTGTTGTTCTGGATCGTATTTGTGCTTCAGCTTTACTTCGTGTTTTGCCCATAGTATGTCTGATGCAGAGGACACTTGATATCGTGAGCTGAAAATTTCTCTGATGGCTCATGTGAGCTGTTGATCAGCTCCAGCTCCTACTCATGTGAGCTGTTGATCAGCTCCTTTCATATGAGCTTGAAATGGTGTGCTAGCTCCCGCTCTCGGAACTGATATGGAACTGTCACACCCCTAACCTGGACGTTTAAATCAGTTCATTTTTAGGATTTTATTAAATTCAGTAGATTATTAAGGTAATCCTCTCATTTTTGAAAAAATTTCGGATTTTGAGCTGAGCATAGCCTAATGTAGAAGTAAGTGTGGGCTACAAAATGAGACCACTACCAGCACTCCACGACCTTTTTTCAAAAAGTTATGCATTTCTCAAGTTTTTCCTTCAAAGTCTAAAACAACTCAATCACTTCATAAACTTCATAAACTTTTCTCTCTTTTTCTGGAAAACTGGTGAATGGCAATAGTTAAAAGCTTGAAACAAAACGAAAAAGTGCTCCATTGAGTTTCCAACCAGTTCTGAAAATATGAAGCCTTGGTGAGTTTTAGTTTTTATTTCACAGCATTTCTACAGAAAACCCAAAAAGAGGGGAGCGGTACCCTTAAATTAGTTATCTCATTCAGTTCTTTTTCTATAAAATCTTTTTGTAATATTTTTCTTATAAAAACGATAATGTAATAAAATAATAATAAGACACCTGTCACAGAGTCACAGTTTTTCAGACTTTTCTTTGATTAATACAGATTAATAGTTTCGAACTTAAAAAGCTATCACATCTTGTAGAGCAAACAATTTCTACAAACTGATATACTTCAATTTTTCGCGTGCTCGTCTTTACCCTTTCTGACACGTTTTTCAGACAGCTCCAAAATCGATTTTTCAGATTGGCGAAAATATTTTCGTTTCACACTAACTTGTCGTTTGCTTATCTACACTGCTGATGAATCAGTAGATTCGAAACGTTTATTGTAGTTTATAAATATTCTAATCAATTAATAAACGTAATAAGCTGCTAAAATTATGCAACATTTTTCAGATTCGAATACCGTTATATATATTTTGGCTAACGACCAATTTAATGATGAATACATTTTTTTTCTAAGAGTTTTCGTTGTTTAGAAAATTGGTAAAGAAAATCCATGTACTACTTAGCGCGTTTTTGGAAGTGGAAAAGTGTGGATAAAAAGTGCAATCGACTACCTATATTTTTCTAAACTCTGATAACCTTCAAATTTACAAAACACACGTTCATCTCGGTGTCCTGCATCTATAGCCCAGAGGGATGTCCGGTTTCTCGCAATTGCGGAACTTCTCTGTTCCAACGCGAATTTTAAATCTTTAATAGGAATTTCCTATTCATTTAACGACAACTTAGCAAAACAGCACTTGCCACAAGATTTGTCATTTCTCTCCTATCTAACCGAAATTTCTTTCTTTCCTTTCACAAGAATTTACCTAATAATCAAGCCAAGAATTTGATATTCCATCAGAATTTCTCTCTTTACACGAGACTTTCACTCAACGCACGAGAATTTCTCTCTGTTGTTGAGAATTTCTTTCCTTTCATAGGAATTTGTCCATTAATATAGCAAAGAGTTTCATACCCCATGAGAACTTCACCCCCCGTGTAACGGCTTATCGTCATTACATTGTTCCCCATCCTTGATCTTATTGCAGTTTATAGAAATTCTTAAAACTTCGAAGTTTCGCGGGTTTTAGTAAGAAAGATAATAGAAGAAAGAAATTATGTATTAAATCATTAAACTCAATTAATTAAACTCAAAGACTTTTGGATTTCAAAAACGTTCCAGTGGAAGTTTTTCTCAAACACCGGCCGAATCTTCAAGTGAAGAAGAAGAAGAAGAATACATTGACGACGAAACGGAAAGTGAAATTGATTTTACCTCTCAGGATATGCTGAAAAATATTAATGGTATTATAAAATTATGCGAAGAAAGTTGTAATATCAGGTATTTGAGCACGTTAGTTTATATGTCACTCAGACATTTCAACATTCCATGTAAAGACATCGACTCATTTATGGGCAACATCGGAGGCTTCTCTAGAAAGACTTGTCACAAGTGGTCAGATGTGTTTTTAAATGAATCTTTTGATACATTTTTGGTCGATCGATAAGGAGGAAAAAGAGGCGATGGTTTCTACGATTTATATCCAGAACTCGAAACAGAAGCACGTGTACAGTATTTGCTATTGAAGCATGTGCAAGAAGAGCTGCAAGTTTCACAGTGCAAGAACTTGCAGAATATATTGATTTCAAATATTATGAACTTATCGGTACCAAAAAGACAAATACCGGTTTAATTCGGTCAGCTGAGAGTGTCCGTCTGGACATGAGAAAGTGGGGAATCAACTACTCAGCAAACGGTAACCGTTCATACTATACCGGTCATGAACGTCCAGATGTTATTGAGCACAGGAAGAAAATAATCGATTATTTTTTAGCAAGAGAGAAAATGTACTATCGACTAACTGAAGATGATGATCCACAATGGATAACGACACCTGTGATTCTTATTAGTAAGTTTTGACCAACGCTAACCCGTGGCTGAAACGTACAGGTGTTTATATTTTTTCCCCTGCAGCGCACGACGAGCCCACTTTCAGGGGTACGAGATTAGCAACAAACGATGGATGGTTGGCGATACAGCACCATTTCACTTTCTGGCTAAAGCAGCCGGACATGAGTCTCAATTTACACACATATGATAAAAGTCGTTTTCTTACATGTTTCTGAATGTACTCTTTCTTGTGGCATAGGAAAAACAGCCTAAATCCAGTTTTTGAAGGGATTTCTAGAGACCTGGTCTCTGAAAACCTATAGAAAACAGCTTCAAAAATTTTTCAATGCCGTCATTAGATTTAGTATAGCCGGAAACCTCTACAAAACTAGTTTGCAGAATTTTCCGACGCTTGAAATTGCTTCAAAAAATAACATCGCACAAAATCAAAGAAAAATCTTAAAAAAACGCTGCTTCGAAAGAAACTGAGCAAATTTTAACGAAAAATAGTTGGAAGACACGTCAATAGATGCAGTTTTTCACGCTGATCTCGAATATGTGTATATCGTTCGGGAAAAATTGTATTTGAAGTGAAAAAATTAGTTTTTACCTCAGAAACCTGGATTTTTGGAAAACCAATATCTCAGTTCAGGAGAATATGCGCACCTTTGCGCATTCACCATAGATGCACGGCCACACGAGGGACATTTTGGTATAAAAATATGTTAGTTTAGACCTGCGCTAAGCTGCGCGTTCTCAAAATACCAGAGAGAGCCTTTACAGCCTAGACTGTTTTCCAAAGAATTCATTCCAAAGCTCTTAAGTTTCACTCGAAAAACAAAATTTTTTTTTAGTCCGTATTTGTCTGACTGTGTTCTTACCGAACTTGATCTGAGTTTTATTCTAATTTACTGTCCTTCAATAAAAATCGAAATTTTTGCGAAAAATAGCGCATTTACATGGTGTTTTTGCATTTCAAATCTTTTATAGAAGGAAAAGTCGTAGAATAAAAATTCTTTCGCCATTAAATCGGCCGTCACTCGAAGCATATGAAACACTATTTAAATTACGAAAAAGTAAACTCATTGTTTTTTTTCTAAATTTCCACTTGAATGCCCACTATGAGCCAAAACCTCTCAGCATTACAAGATCTCGATCATTTGTCTATTAAGCAGATTTGCATAATATTCGCTCTGTCTCTCTGTCTCTCTTTCCTGTTTTTTATGGTCGAGGTAAGATGTCCGGATGGGCTTCCATTTCGCCCTCTCTGAGAGATTTTTTTAATCGATAGAGATTCATTGCCGGTAGTAGAAATAAAATAATAAAGATAGCTAATTCGACGATATTATAGGCGAGTCGACATTTTTTGATAAAATATAATGGATCAACATATCCTACAAGCACTGACGTTGCCAATCCAACATAGACCAGAATTAAGAAACAACGTAAGTATCTAAACTCAGAACGATGTTCAATATCTAATACGTTACAATTGAAAACAGCATAGGAAACACCATTGCCAAACATAAAATTACGCAAGACACGTAGTTGTTCACGAGCCGTGACATAAGCTGTAAGATCATCTAAACATTTATCGTTATCGTATGAGAATAATGGTTCATATAATTCAACAATACCACAATGGCTTGTATCATACTGACAGTAAATGGTAAACTTTTGTGTACACCAGCATATAGGGCTTTCAAGCCTGGTGCACTCAGAAACAACATTGAAACACTAAATATAAGTGCTTGTCGTTGTAGAGCACGAGCTGATGTGTTAAATTTTTCCTTGTAATCACGATATTTTCTAAAATTCCAATGATTCATTTCAACTGCAATGAATATAAAAACAATTTTAAGAACCCAAACTATTGCAATTGTCGTTGTTGCCTTACTACCACATTTCCGTGCGACGAGTATAGACGTAACTATAACATATGGAATTAAAAGATAGATTTCAACAGAGACACCGAAGGCAGGAACACCACTTGCATACACAGTCGTAAAAATTTCCAATGCAACATAACGTGAACCATGAAAAAATTGTAAAACTTCTGACTTGTCTACAGAGGTTGATGAATACATTATTGTATCAATAATAGTATAACATAGTAAGCCAATGATTGACAGCATACGAAACAGTATTAAGTCTTTATCGATCTTGCCAAAATTTTTGAAATGAAATTCTTTAAATTTTTTCCACCGGCTATAACATTAAAAGTGAAGGAAAAACGCTGTCTTGAGTCGTACGCGCACTATTCACATCTGTCTTTATTATCACTTACATTCTCGCTTTTACCGTTGTTGTCACAGCATTTGGTTGCTTGCTTGAGTTAAGATTTTGATTAGCTGAAAATGAGCTTGGATGTGTTGCTGTTGGTGAAGGTGTTACTGCAACAACCGAGACTACTGTTGGAACGTTATTTAACGCTACTGAACTGACTGTTGCACGTGGTCTCCGTGATGATGACGAGGACGAAGATTGTAGATCGTCTACTTTTTGCTGTTTGGTTTTGTTAACTGACGTCGACTATATTCAAAGAGGAAATGTAGCAATGACCTCAACAGACGACTACGTATCCACGTGCGTTTTAGAAACTAAACAGTATTGATCTCTTTTGCGTTCTTGCTATAGGTATCAACACAACGGTGTTTTTCCTCCAGTATAAGGAAACTGTTGTGTTTACAAATACGCCCTCAACTTACGTTTGTTTTTGTTGGCGTTTGTCTTGTAGGCATATGTTGATCTTGAAGAAAGTGTGTCTATTTGTTTCTGATACGCAGATCGAATTAAAATCCTAAGGAATGAAGCGAGAGTATACAGAAAAACCTTTATTACTCTTTTTCGTTTTGTCGTAGGCAGTAAAAACATATATCTGTTGCGCATAAGCTGAGTTTCTTTTTTTTACTACTACTATTAATTTTTGTTAATGTTTTCTTTCGTCAACAAAGATAAGACAAGTTATCGGGCAGATTTTTTTTATTACAGAATGAATGAATGGATTGATATAGGCACTCGTGATAGCATAGGTTTTTGAATAGAAACAAAAAACAGGAAAGGAACATAAAAGGGGAGACAGTGAAGTGTGACAGAAACTCGTTTTGCTCGTTTCACCCTACTTAGTTCACCATAAAGGCCTTGACTGATCTTTACTATCTAACAAGAGAAAATTATCTCAGATTGTTGTACAAAAAGGAGTAGAAAACAAACGTTTTCCGTAAAAAAAATGTGAAAGTCACAACTGAAAAAATTGCGCTTGCACAACGAGTTTCGACGTTCTGAATATTTCCAATCATAATACTTTACGTCTGTAGCCGGTTCGGAAACAACAAAGGGAAAATCATCAACTCTTGAAGCCATATTTGCCTTACCTAACAGTGCAAATATGCTTTTCGATGACATTACCTATTTCTTTATTCCGAAGTTCTTTGTTCCCATCATCCAACAGTATTATTTTCGATCAGGCTGATCCATCCGAAATGTTTTTCATCCAATTCAATAAATTGATACTTTTATCGTCACAGCCTAATTTTTTGATGATAACAAAGATTCGCACACTGCCAAAGACTAAAAGCGATAGAATATTTCTAACACATAATTAGAAAGCTCCCGACGTATGCATTCAACATAACTATTTTTGGTATTCTCGGAACGTGCTTTACCACAAGAGAAATGGAGAGACATTTATCAGGTTACTTTTGTATCGTAGGTTAAATGCTGAGTGAACAATCGAGTATATTACAGGATAAACGTAACATTTACAGATTTGATCTAATACAGTCGTTTGAAAGATGAACGACTCGGATTTGAGAGATGAATTATAGTAAATCTAATTTCCTAAAAGATATCTCTACTGCAGCTGGACTTCATAATAAAAAACAATTTTTTGTGTTTTTTCTCATGAAGATCGAGTTGTACAGAGTTGTGTGCAGTAAATCACGCTTAGGAAATTAAATTTGCCACAACGCTGTCTCTAGGCTCAAACTTGAGAAACACTTCGTTAATAGTGAACAGCAGGAAAAACCACTTTTTTCGTTAATCTCCAATTACTCACTATGAACAAAGCGTTTCTCAAGTTTGAGCCTAGAGACAGCGTTGTGGCAAAATTAATTTCCGAATCTTGATACACTACGCACAACTCTGTACAACGTGGTCTTCATGGCGAAAAAAACACAAAAACTGTTTTTTATCATGCAGTCCGGCTTCTAGAAACCCGACTAGAGCGCAAAAATATTAAAAATTGAGATCTAAGGTGCGGGTAATTCAAAGTTTCCGTGACTTTTCGATTTGTTTAAAAGATACATCATTCGATAGAGCTCGTCGAGCTCTACAAGAATATGAGGTTTAAAAAATTTCTAACCCCTTTCTTCGTGAA